TACCGGCTCGGAAACCATGGAGCTACCTGTGAAAAACGTGTCCACTTGTGAGTTGCGTGCAGTTATTCGCTTTTTAACTGCAAAAGGGCTTAATGGCAACGAAATTCACACTGAATTAGTGCATATTTATGGTGACAAATGCATGAGTGTGCAAATGGTGCGTCGGTGGCGTACATATTTTCTCGAGGGACGCGGAGAAGTTCATGATGAGCAGCGTGCAGGCAGGCCAAAAACCGCCATTACAGATGACGCAGTCGCAGCAGTCGAAAAAATCATTTTGGCGGATAGGCGCTTTACAATTGACAGAATTTTGGACTCAATGCCTCCTGAAATCGATATTTGTCGAACTTCAATCCACACAATCATAACAGATCATCTTCGTTACCGTAAAGTTTGTGCGAGGTGGGTCCCACGCCTGCTTTCAGATGATCACAAACAAAAAAGACTTCAGTCTGCAGGAAAATTTCTTGACATGCTTGAAGATGAAGGCGAAAATGTTTACTCACGCATTGTGACAGGGGATGAAACGTGGGTTCACCACACAAACCCTGAAATGAAGCGACAAAGTATGGTTTGGAAGAAATCAGAAGAGAGTGCTCCAAAAAAAGCAAAAATCCAGTATTCTGCTGGTAAGGTTATGGCCACAGTTTTTTGGGACAACGAAGGTGTTCTGTTGATTGATTTTCTTGAATCCGGTACCACGATAAATGCAGATCGTTACTGTGAAGTGCTAAATAAACTTAAAAGTGCCATTAAACGAAAGCGTCCTGGAAAATTATCGAGAAAAGTGTTGCTTTTTCACGACAATGCACGGCCTCATTCAGCAAAAAAAACACAAACCTTACTGGAAAAATTCAAATGGGAAATTTTTGATCACCCACCCTACTCTCCAGATCTCGCACCAAGTGACTTTTTTCTTTTTCCTAAGTTAAAGGAAAGTTTGGGTGGCCATCACTTCAATTCAAATGATGAAGTGAAAGACTTTGTTAAATTATTCTTTAAAAAACAGGGCACGGATTTTTATAAACAAGGTTTGTCAAAGCTTCAGAACAGATATAAAAAATGTATTCAAGTCCAAGGGGACTATGTAGAAAAATAGTTTATAAGTCAAACAATAAATACATATGTTACTTTAACCTAAAAATTGTGTTTTGCTTTTTTCCCGGAGCAGGGAAACTTACTTTTTGAACACCCCTCGTATAATAGTTATAATTCTAATTAATTTGAATTTGTCATGACATACGAGGGTCGTTTGAAAAGTCCGTGCAAAAATAAAAACTACTTAATTTTTTGGGGTAAACTTTTTTTATTTTTCAACATAGTCACCTTTTAGGCTTATACACTTCGTCCAACGCTGCTCTAATTTGTTGATTCCTTCCGAATAATAGGATTTGTCTAAGTCTGAAAAATAGCCATTGTGGTTGCAAAATTAATGGAATTAGGGTTCCAACTCGTCTCACATCCCCCCTATTCTCCAGACTTGGCTCCCTCGGACTACTATTTGTTCCCCAATATGAAGAAATGGCTGGCGGGAAAAAGATTTTATGGAAACGAGGACGTGATTGCCGAAATTCTTTTTCGTCCATTTTTTGAAAATCACTCGACTTCCTCGATTCAAATGAATGCCAAACACAAACAAATAGACCGATCTGGCTGTAACTTGGTGTGTGTTCCTCCAAGAGATGCTACTAACTAAATCTAACCTTGATACGCGCCAGTAGTGTCATCTCTCTGACTTTGCACGGACTTTTCAAACGACCCTCGTATCACTTGTCAGTGCTATCTCACCCTAGCTCAGCGTTCTTACCCGGGACGTAACACTTCTGTTGGATCCTAGATTACGAGAAAAATATGAAATTTTTGAAATTCCAAAATTTTTTTTTTTTTTTGACACTTTAGAGCCCTCTATCTCCGAAACGGTGCATCCTAGAGCAAAAGTGTATACCATCTTTTTTTTGACTCGTCGAGATCTATAAGATAGCAGTCTTGGAATTTTCGAATTACGATATTTTTTATCCTATCCCAACCTTTCAAAAGGTCTTATGGCCAAACTGTGGTAGGGGAGGGGGAAATAAATACCAAGGAGGTAGAACCAAGTGAGTACTATATATAAAAAATGATAGCTCGGAACAAAAAATTAAACTAATCCCTATACCCTAACTTCGTGATAACCCAAACTTCCTCAATTTTTGATAGATGTCTATAATAGGTGATGTGTTCACATGTTACATTTATCGTTACGATGAATGTAATCCGTCGTATAACAGATGTCGCACGTAATGTGAATCCTACGTTTCAAGTACACTGAGTTCATTCGGAGCGATCTCGAGCAGCTCTCGAGAGACAATACGAACTATTATATACATTTGATTTACCCAACATGGCTGAGTTCAGTCACGGTCTCTCATTGGCCAGCAATAATGCTTTCCCAATTGCACATCTTGTTAGTGTATTTCCACCATGGATTGAAAATCCAAACAGGGAACTTGTTAATAAGAAGAAATAATACATCCAAATAATTTAGAAAAATGTTACGTGTTCTGGTGCGTCTATTAATTAGTGCTGTTGGTATTGTAATGGCTGTACTTGCTTTTTTTGTCTTATTCATTATTTATGGTAATCGCGATGTTGGATTTTGGTCAATATTAACAGGTTAGCGATTTTTCATTTGACAGCATAAATATGATTAATAAATGTTTCCAAACTCCCCCCCCCCTCCTCTCCCTCTCACCATTGTTGATGAAATTAGACTTATTTGATGCATTTTTACATACAACAAAGGAATTTGATAAAAAAAATATTAGTCTGCCCCGTAAACCGAAATGTTAAAGTTGACTTTTGAGGTTTGAAAATTTGTTACGAGCTCCGAAGCATCTTTTGCGGCCGCACTTTCGTGCTCTATGGCTACATGCGCATGTGTCTACGTATTTTTCGCTGTTTATTTACCGACGAGATGCTATCAAAGACAAGTCGGTTCTTATGAAGTTCGGGTAACTGTTAAAATTTAAGTGATTGTACTGATATAGTACGGAAATCATTTCATGATTTATCGTGTAGTTGACATATATACACGATACAAAACTTAATAAGCTTTTAGCTATTCTACATCTGTGCTCTTGTTTTCTGTTTTATTATTTTTTTACGTCTTGTCTTTTTGCCTCTTATCCGGTTTTTTGTTTTCGAGATATAGCCTATTCTACAATGTGCCTTTTGTGTCCTGTTTTTGCTTTTTACCCTATCTTTGCTTCTTTTCCCCTTTGTAATCATTTTATCAATAATTGCATTTCTTGCTACATGTTTCCTATTTCTCCTGAAGTTGGTTAATTTTTATCTCGGGCGACAAAAAGAAACAAAAACTCGGATAAGAAGCAAAAAAACAAGATGTAAAAAACAAAAAGCAGAGAACAGAAAACAAAAAACCCTTTGTAGAATAGGCTTATAACTTAATAATACTTGATATATATAACTTAGTAATACTCAATTTTTATTTAAAATTGGGATTTTAATGTTATCATTTGTGTTTTATTGTCGACATAGAAATGATAACTGGAAAAAAATTGTAATTTTTCGGCAACATATAAAATAGCATTGAAAGTATACATACTTATTTGTACAGCATTCGTATAAAAAATTACAAATTTAATGATGTATTATCAATATATTTATATTTAATGTAAATTTTTATTATCGATAACGTCGTCGTTCTTATTTCCCGAAACCCACGAGCCCCACTGAAATAAAATTAAAGGGTAAAGTTTGCTATTTAAAATACGCATTCGGATAGAAAAAAATTTTAATACATTTTAATCCACATTCTTCTTTGCTGGTATATACATAAATTAAGATTTTGTTTTTAAAACTCCTAGTATGTTACTGTAAACATGTATATAATAATACTGAAAAGATTTCTTTATGTACTATTTGTTAAAATAAGTTTATTTTTTTTAAAGTTCAATTTCATATTGATAGATTTTTATATGTTCTAGACTCTGAATCGTTTTTTAATGACTGTGACAACCTTGAACAATAATCGTCAAGTCCTAATCTTATTGGAAGTCTAAAGCATTTGTAGGCAATTTAAAGTGTTTATTCAGAATAGAGAATTGAAAGAGGAATTTTTAATTTACTGAATTATACAATTTATTTATATATTTATATTGCTATCAAAAATATATGTAACGCAAAAAAGGGATTTGCATAACTTTTGTTTCTATATTTTTGTTTCTAATGTCATAGTTCTATACGGTTACAGTGAATAATTTCTTAGTGCCTGTACTAAGAATTTTTAAGTTTGATATCGGTATGTATAGGTGCCTTAGCTGGAGTCTGTTTTCATTTACATTGGGTAAAAGGGAAAGAAACTTTGGAGAGATGGCATACTGGAGTTACATTACGAAATTTAAATATTGTGGGCTTTGTAAGTGCTGTGACTAGCATTACTGCACTGATTTGGTACCTGTTTCTTACGTTTTATTATCAAATTCGTAAGCATATTGTAATATTTTAGATATTTTTAGACAGGTTTATTTATTTATTTTAATGTTAGTTTGTTTGTAATTATTTATTTTTAATCTTGTATGACTGCATCTTGATTATACACTAGAAAATTATCTGCTGACTTACAATATTTACTAGTACATAAAAATTTATTTATTATTGTAGCCATTCGGCCAATTTCTGAAAGCACTGTAATAACAGCAGTATGGTCCATGATCTGTGGAAAATGGGGTATTACTTTAATGTATTACTCAAACAAATATGAATTATTGGTCCAAGAAGGAGCATCACCTATACTTACAGATAATGTCTGAAATATACCGTAATTTATATTTTTACATAAAATAACATTTTTTACAAAATAAATGCATTAGATATATAAATCAAACCTATTGAAGTTTTTATTTACGAGGAGAATATTTCATTTCTTATCAACTCATTAAATGAAAAAGCGCAAGCAAATGAATTTCAATATTTTATTATATCTGCAAATTTTTGTTCTTGTGTCTTTTATTTACTTATATAATGTATAAACGTATGGTTAGGAATTACAACGGAGTTATTTCTTGATGATATTAGAAGGTATCCTTTCACTTGATAAATTTGGACAAGTTTCGTATAAACTTTTGTAAAATGACTATTAAATATATCTTAAAAAAATGAAAAGATTGTGTATAAAGCCCCTATATATTTTCTCCATTTAATCAGTAAATAAACTTCCATCGTAATTATAAAATTGTATAAAATTTTAGAGCATAAGAATATTGTACCTATTCCCTATATACATTTGTATGTAACTGTCTCACTCACCCACCCTCTCTCTCTCTCTCTCTCTCTCTCTCTCTCTCTCTCTCTCTCTCATCATGTATGTACATATACGAATAATATAACGAATATATCTTACATGTATAGGAGTTTACAAAATATCTTATCCTAAGGAGACAATTTATAAAGTGGATCGATAATTGTATATAAACCAATTAATGAAGAAATTATTCCAAGTAAACCTATTGTACCTGGAGTACATTTTGTGACACCTAATGCTGTCAATGGAATAAATAAGTCACATCCATTTTTAATAGTATCCATTGTTACTTCCTTGTGACTTTTTAGACAGGATAATATATAATATTGTTTAAATACATTCTTCTTGTGTTCCAAAATCTTGATAATCTCATAAATATCTCTTATTAAACTCATAACAATAGTTAGTAACCAATACTTATTAGCAACTTTATTCCATTTTTCTAAATCAACTCGTAAAATTCCTACTCTGCCAATCCAGATAAAATGATCTGCTAGTAAGTACAAAGCATTTGCCATCTTTGCCATGGTTAATGTTATTCTCACCGTAGGATCAGGATACTTCATCATTTTTAAAGCAGAATAGATGCTATCTAAGCATCTTCCAAAGCGCAGCACTAGAAAGAAAAAAATATATATGACATTTATTTGTTAGCTATAGAAACATATTTCTATAAACAAGAAAGTTATTGTTACATTTTCGAAATGAGCTAAAAGTGAACTCCAAACTTCTCAAAATTTCTGCAGAATATCTTGTACTGTGCACATTTTGTGCATAGTACCAATACGCTCGACTTCCATATTGAAGCAATCTGCAAAATAATTTTTGATATTTCTGATAATATTGCTAAATAAAGCAGTGCTTCATATTTTATAATCTTAGTACCAATGACAAATTTTTTCTATAAATATAAATTGGAAGTTCTTAACAATATTACATACTTAAATTTTTTCTTAATAGAAATGCTTAAATACATATAGGCTGTGTTCCAAAATTTATTGCAAATAGTGAAAACTTTTCACAATCTAAAATAAATTCGTAAATAATAATACATAATTTTCTTTGTGTAATTTTAAATTTCTATAAAATTCTATTAATTGTTTAATCATAAAAATTATACCAAAAGCTGCAATAATATATGAATGACATCGACTTTTAATTTTTTATAAATAAAAGAAAAAATCGATTTTTAATTTATAAGAGAATATGTCACTAAAAATTAAAGAATTATGATAAAAACTATTCAACGTCTAGAAATAAAAAAATTGTCTTAGTTTTAAATTAAGATGATTAAAGAGCATAATACTCGGCATGATGTAAACAGAGAATGCTGATGTATAAGTGAATAAAAGAAATAAAGAATTTTATCATCGTATATGACACACCTTATTAGTTTATCCCTCCCTGCCGTTTGCTCGTTCAACTTTATAAAGATATCCATAATTTCTTTCGAACGAAAGAATTTTACTTTAATTCACAAATTGTGTAACTAATAAAAACAAAGATATCAATAATTTTAATATTGTAAAAAAATCATTTATACTCAAAACGGTAGTTTAGAAGGTCTTACAAGATAAATATCTAAAGCAAATATCTTGTCGCTCTTTTACATTTGTCATAACTACATATCTTTCACAATCGCTTTCCATTATCACGAGCTAACAACAGTTATAGTGGACTCTGCACTTAGAAAGAAATCATTGAAAAAACAAACAATGACTGGCAGTGATGCAACTACTCAGAGATTATGAACCATTTTAAATTCAGTAATTATTAATTCGCGTGATTAGAAAATGATAAATATATATTCATTAACTTTATCCATATATTTATAGCGTATTCGATTTACTGACTCAACCCGACTCCGAGTCAATAGATCTGTTCTTTTTGGCTGAACTTTTGCACCAGTTTATCTTTCTTCCTTTTCTCTCCAGAAGGAAAGAGGAGGAAGAAAGATGAATTAGTACAAAAGTTCAGCCAAAAAGAATAAATCTATTGATCTGGGGTGTTTTTTTGTTATCTAACCAGAAGCTACCATAGCTAAGGCTATCTTCGTCTTTTGATCTCTGAAGACGAAGCTAGCCTTAGCCGTGGTTGCTTCTGGTTGCATAACGAAAAAACGCCACTGTTATCCCCAGGAAACTCTATCCCTAGGATGGATAGTGAAAAGTGAAAATTTTTACCATTGAAATTAATGCTAAAATTTTTTACTTTTCATCCTAAAAAAAAGTTTCATGATTGATACCAAGAGCTTAATTGTAGCCTAATTTTCACCGAGGGTTTGATCCGAGAATGTTAGAACCAATCAACTACAGTCAAACATTCGACTGTAACAAAAGAATGCTCGACTGCAGTTGGTTGGTTCTTGAAATCTGACCCGGATCGAACTCTTGGTGTAAACTAGGCCTGTGCAAGAAATGCAATTAAAAAGAACAGACCGTTGACTCTTGGAATCGAGCCGAGTCAGTAAGGCTTCGCGCACAATAGCAGGAATTAGAAATAAAGAATGAATGATTTTAACCTATTAGAAATCGGATATCAAAATCAGTACACGATTTCTGATATATTGAAATCATTTATTCTGTATTTATAATTTCTTATTCCTTCTACTGTGCGCAGAGTCTAAATCAAATATGCTATTATTTATTTATTTAAATTAATCACACTTGTAAGGATGCAGCCACAATAGAAGGAATAAGGAATTAGGAATAAAGAATAACGTTTCCAACCTATCAAAAACTGTGTATTCCAATGTATCCAATTTCTGATAGGTTGAAATCTTTATTCCTTATTTCTAATCCTTATTTTTTCTATTGTGCCTGCACCTTTATCCCTCCATCAATTTACAGCGAATTCGGTAGACTGCACTAGTGCGCACTGAATGTGAACTTTTCAATACCATATGGCTTGTGCGCACTTTATGGGTAGTATCCCATTATGTCCGATCTACAACGAGTCTTTGTTCAGAAGTTCTAAATCTCTATCGGTAAAGTTGGCCAATAGCCAACTTGTGCGACTAGCGCTGGTTAACCAACTTTACCGATTAAATCTAAGAATGCGTTCCACTTAACGTTCGCAACGCTCGTGAGCATTATTCTTACTAGAAAATTGAGTTCACTACAATTCCGTTCCGGAATTGAGAAATTTCTCTTCCCGTCCCATGTAGCCGGAACGGAATAAAAACAGATGGAATGTCACCTCGGTCTCAAGCTAATTTACTTAATTTAATCAATATTTCGTTATTTTAATACTGTTGATTTCGTATCGTTTCTATACGGAATCTATTCTCCGTTCCGGCTATGATTCCGGTGGTTCCAATACAGTAAAGAAATTTCTTACGGAATGGAATGCGAGTGAACTCATTTCTAGTAAGACCGTTCCGATTCCGTGTACATGGAATGGCACTCTTAAATCCATTCTACAATAGTCGTAAGTGTAGTTGTAATTGTAAGAATTGACCAATCAAGAATGTGAGGAGAATATTTGATTGGTCAATTCTTACTACTACACCACTTACTACGCTTATGTCTATTATAAAATAGGCTTTATGGCTCCTGCACACTGGACGCGGAAACGCTTGCCGCGCGGCAAAATGAGACGCAGTAACCAATGAACACATTAGGAGCTGAAGACTTATTGGCTACCGCATCACAACCACATCCAGTGTGCAGAAAGTCATTAGAGTTGAGTAGGAACTATGCGAAGAGCATGTTGAAGCATGTTGGAGCATGCGACGCGAACAAACCTCTAGTTTACTACGTTTACGCATACTAACTAATAACTTTCTATTGAACGATCTTAATTTGGACGATACGTGTAAATATATATACGATATATATATACGAAATATATATACGATATATGTATTTAATTAATCTTGTTGATACATATTTTACCAATTTAATACATCATTCTTTGAATAGATTCTTTGAATTCCTTGCTGCAATTAAAATAATTTAATAAAAAATTACTAGTTAGAACGTGTATTAAGTGCACAATGGGTGCTTTTCATTTGATGACATAAGTCGACACAAGTGTCGTTCTATCTTCGTCATTCTCTGAATGTCAACAAGAATAAACTAGACCAGTGCAATTTGGTATAGCGTCAAAGTGGTTCTGTACTCGTATCATGTTAGAGCACTAGTACAGAGTCAGCGCATGTATATCGAATTCGCCATTAGAAAGAAACATTGTGCACATAGTATGTGTGTGCACGTGGTCTGCCCGCGTTACTTGAAATCCTCAAATAGTTTTGCACTTAAAATAAGATAGATACATATTTGGACGTTGAAAAGAGAAAAAACGAAGATACTGCGAAGAGTGCAAAAAGTGCATGCAAAGAGAGCGCGAAGAGACCGATTATTTCAAACAGTAATTGATAGTTCATCTTTTTTAAGTATGTACATGTCTCTTCGTGCACTTTCATGCACTAAACTTTTACAACAAATAAAATCGTATTGAACTAAATAATACATAAATTAATCGTTTATAAAGGGTGTCTCAAAATGATCTGACATTTTAAATTGCGCGCCATTTTTTTTGCAGCGAACGTAACGTACTAACCTTTAACAACTGGCATCAGGAAGTATTGAGGTTTAGTCATGAAGAATTACACGATCGAGCAACGCATAGAAATTGTGAAAATCCACTACAAATATAGTGAACATTTTGCAGAGACGGTTCGAAAAGTCCGCACGTCTTTTGGTCATCATAACGCACCATCTCGCAATACTGTGGTGAATTTAATAGAAAAATTTGAGGTAAGTGGCTCACTTTTAGCCGCGAAAAGCAGTGGCCGTTCTCGTACTGGTCGGTCGAATGAAAACATAGCCACAGTGAGTGCGAGTGTTGACGAAAGTCCTTCCACCTCGATTCGCCAT